GCTGTGTCCCAAAGTTTTGGACTGTCATGTTTTCATTTTCATTTGCTTCATGTATATCTTTTATTTCTTCTTTAATTTCCTGCTTAACCCATTCATTCTTAAGTAGGCTATTCGTAACCTCCATGTATCTGTGGTCCTTCCAATTTTTTTCTCATGGTTGACTTCAAGTTTTATAGCATTGTGGTCAGAAAATATGCATGGTATGACCTCACTCTTTTTGTACTGGTTGAGGCCTGATTTGTGACCCAGGATGTCATCTATTCTGGACAATGTTCCATGTGCACTCGAAAAGAATGTTTTTCTTTAGGATGAAAAGCTCTGAATATAACTGTTAAGTCCATCTGGCCCCGTGTGTCATTCAAAGCCTTGTTGCCTTGTTGATTTTCTGCTTTGATGATCTGTCCATTGCTGTGAGTAGGGTGTTAAAGTCCCCTACTCTTATTGTATTATTATCAATGAGTTTCTTTAAGCTTGTTACTAATTGATCTATATATTTGGCTGCTCCCAAGTCGGGGGATAAATATTTATAATCATGAGAACTTCTTGTTGGATAGACCCGTTTATTGTGATATAGTGCCCTTGTTCATCTCTTATAACCTTCTTTGGTTTAAAATCTAGATGGTCTGATATAAGTATGGCCACTCCAGCTTTCATTTGATGTCCATTAGCATGATAAATGGTTCTCCATCCCCTCACCTTCAATCTGGAGGTGTCTTTGGGTCTAAAATGAGTCTCTTGTAAGCAGCATATCGATGGGTCTTTCTTTTTTAAAATCCATTCTGATACCCTATGTCTTTTGATTGGAGCTTTAGTCCATTTACATTCAGAGTGATTACTGGTAAGTATGAACTTAGTGCCATTGAACTTACCTGTAAAGTCGCTGTTCCTGTAGATTGCCTCTATTCCTTCTAGGTGTTGTTGTGGTTTTTTTGTTTGTTTGTTTTGCTTTTGGTGTCTCCTTCCCTCTCGAAGGGTCCTCCTTCATATGTCTTGCAGGGCTGGTTTAGTGTTTATGACTCCTTTTGTTTTTGCTTGTCTTGGAAACTCTTTATCTTTCCTTCTATTCTGAATGAGAGCCTTGATGCATAAAGTATTCTTGGTTGCATATTTTTCCACTTTGGCACATTGACTATATCATGCCTCTCTCTTCTAGCCCGCCAGATTTTTGTGGGCAGGTCTGCTGCTAACCTTACATGTCTACCTTGTAGGTTAAGTACCTTTTGTCACTAGCTGCTTTCAAAATTCTCTATCGTGTATTTTCAAGTTTCACACTAATATGTCTTGGTATTGATCTGTTTTTTTTTTTATTTTGAAGGTAGTTCTCTGTGCTTCTTGGACTTGGAAGCCTGTTTCTTTCCCCAGATTAGGGAAGTTCTCAGGTATAATTTGTTCAAATTTGCCTTCTGCCCCTTTTTCCTGCTCCTCTCTTCTGGGATTCCTCTGATATGGATATTATTGTGCTTTGTGGACTTCCTGAGTTCCATAAGTCTACCTTCAAGATCTAATGGTTTTCTTTCCCTCTTCTTTCCAGCTTCATTATTTTCCATAATTTTATCTTCTATCTCACCTATTCATTCGTCTGCTCCTTCCATCTTTGTTGTGATTACGTACAGTGGGTTTTGCATCTCACTTATAGCATGTTTTAATTTCAGCCTCACTAGGTTTTAGGTCTTCTATCTCTGTAACAAGGCTTCCTCTGTTGTCTTCTATGCTTCTTTCAAGCCCAGCTAGTATTCTTATGACACTTGTTCCAAATTCTTATTCAGATATATTGCTTATGTCTGTTTTGAGAAAATCACTGGCTGTGATTTCTTCTTGACCTTTGTTTTGGAGAGAATTCCTCTGCCTTGTCATTTTGTATGTTTCCTGTTCCCGAGAGTAATGCTATTTTAAGAGGCATCATACACTGTCCAGGGCCTGGCGCTTCAGGAAGTGCTTCTGGTGTAAGCTGTGTGCATGCTGCTACTGCGTTTTGGCCGCTCTTTCCCACAGGTCAGTCCTCTGCAGAGTTGCACCTTGCTTGCAGGGGGGAGTGTTTGGACCTTAACTAGGTGTGCTTTGATTTGTTTGTTAAAGTAAGCGTGGAAAAAAAGAAAGGACAAAAAAAGAGAGAGAGAGAGAGGAAAGGAAAAGGAATGAAAATGAACAAACAAAAACCTATAAGCCTGTTTTGAAAGTAAAAGGAAGGAAAAGGAAAAAGAATAAAAAACCCTGATCCAGAGAAAGAGAAAATGAAACAAACAAACAAACAAACAAACAAACACTGTAAGTCTGTTTTGAAAGGGGAAATAAAAGACAAAAAGAGAAAATGAAAACAATGGAAAGAAAGGAAGCCTGGTCCTATTTCCACCAGAACTGAACTGATGCTTTGGAGCACTCTATAGTCAGTGACCTTGGTACATGCAATGGGCCTGTGTTGGTCTTCTGAGGGAGAGACCCACTGTGCTACTCACAGTCAGACTTGCCCTGGTAAAGATGCCCCAGACAGGTGCAGGGTGGCAGGGTTTGGTGTAAGCAGCTCCCATCTCCATGGGAGGCACGTGTTTTTCTCTGAAGTCTGACCACACTGGTGGGCTGGGGGTGGGGGTGATATTGATGCCACCCCACTGTCTTGTCCGTGGAAGGGGATCTCCCACCTGTCCCTTTTCAGGAAGCTCTGAGAGAAAAATGAATAATCTCCCATCCTGTGTCCCAAGCCTCCATCAGAATCCTGCCCTCACCCCTTCTGTGCCTGGGCCGTCAACACATTCACTACCATACTTCTCCATTTTATCTCTGGCACATGGCTGGGATTCAAACCTCCAAATGTTAAAGGACCTGGTGCAGGCTGGACCCACTCCCTTCTCCCAGAGAAGAGCCTCCCCATGCTGAGACTTGAGAATTTTTTTTAAAAATCTTTTTTTTTAGGATTGTTGTGGGGAAAAAGCATAAAGTTCCTTGCTCAGTGTCTAGAATATAGTAAGCACTCAGTAAATGCTAGCTATTTCCAAGCATTATGCACACAATTCTATAGAGGAAACCGAGGACTCAGGGAAGCAAACACGGAGTTACACCCAGAATTGCAACGCAATTCCTAGGCTGTCCCAATTCCAAACTCTCTCCACAACTGCCCCTTATGTGCTAGGTGCAAAGCTGGTACTGATCCAAGCGAGGGAAGGAGTCAGGCTCCAGAGTCCCTGGGCCTGGGCCAGTGAGGGGCGGAAAGTAACCATAGAACTGGAGGAAAGTTGAGAGGCATGGGTAACATGGTTACACACCCCTGGGTTTGGACAGGAGCCCAGGATTTGGGGGGAAAGGTGAGACCTGTGGACCCATGGGTTGTGTAATGAATCTCCTGTCACAAGGTCGGCCACAGGAGGAGGGCATAGGAGTAACAGGTAGATGGTGAGGAACAAGGGCAAGAGGAAAAGCTGCCTTCCAAAGAACTCCTCATGAAAACACCTTGTTCTCCTTTCTAAATTATGGGCTTGGAGTCGATTTGGGAGAAGAGAATCAGGAACAAAGTGAGGCCGGGAGACTAACTTGTCCTCCTCAGGTGTGCTTTCATATGTTCTCCGTGAGTCTTTAGTGCCCATCCCTCTCCCTAGCACTCTTCACCTGGTGAATTTCTATTCACCCTTCAGGGTCCCATTCTTGTTTTTAGTTGTCTCCTTCCTGGGTGGGCCCAGCCCACTATTCACTCTTTCAGTACAGGCCTTATCATGTTTTCCTGGATTGCGTTACTTTTCTGCCTTTACCTCCTAGACTGTGAGCTCAGGAAACATTTGCTGAGTGCATGAGTGACTGACTGAATGAGCATTCCTGGGAGGACCTTGGGAAAGGGACAATTACCCCCCCCCCCCACCTTACAGAAGGAGAAACTGAAGTGCAGAGAATATGGTTGGCCAGCTTCATATGGCATGAGCAAGCCCTGGGCTGGGCCTCCTGAGTGTGAGCCCAGTGCTCTGCCTACCGGCACAGTCAGCCCAGGACATCGCTGAATGGTGGACTGGGACAAGCGTGGGGAACAATGCTGAGGCAGCTGAGGCAGTCTGGAGACCCCCGATTCTAATCCCAGCTGGCACTCTCATTGGTGGTTTTCCTCTGGCCACATCGCTTTAGCTCCCTGTAAGTGTTTCCCTCTCAGAAATGGGATAATAATCAAACCAAGCACATCTCCTTAACACTTGGTAAACTAGACTGAATTTTTTGCGGTCTGGATTCATGTCTGTTTTGCTGACAGCTCTGTCCAGGCACAAAGCACACTGCCTGGCACAGAGTAGGTGCTCCTGAAATATTTGATGAATAACAGGGAGCAGAGCAAGTGGGAATGTGCCCGGCCATTACCACTGTCTGCTGAGAAAGCTTTCCTCCCACAGTTTCCCAAGGTGGCTCCTCACAGTTAATGAACTCTAGAAGTCCAATCTAAGCTCTGCCCTCACCCTTCACCCTCCCTCCAGGTGGGCAGGGCAATCCTCCCCTGACTGACTGGGCTGGGATGCTCAGGGGAGCTCAGCACAGTCAGGGACAGTCAGGCAGAGTCAGCGATCCAGCAGCCCCTGCACCATGAGTGTCTCTGTGCTGAGCATCACCGGACCCCTGGGCGGTATCTCTGGGCTCCTGCAAGGGGCCTCCCTGCTAGGGCTGGCTCTGCTGCTGCTCAAGGCAGCACAGCTCTACCTGCGCAGGCAGTGGCTGCTCAAAGCAGTCCAGGAGTTCCCATCCCCTCCCTCCCACTGGCTCTTTGGGCACAAGCTGGAGGTAGGAACGGGCTGGAGGGGATTGGAGGGTAGGGTTGGCCTGGGAAGGCAGCAACCACCCACCCAATGCTAGCTGGGTGCCAGCACTGCCTGGGTGTGAGGGTTGCCCAGTGCAAAGGGAAAGCCCACATGTAGAAGGGCTCCCCAAGGGTTTATGGATTCAACAAATGGTCGGAGTCAATTGGGGAGTTGTAGTCAACTGACCCAAGTAACCCAATAGCATTTTGGTAAATGATGATTTGTTGAATGAACAAATGCATGAGGAAGGGCTTCTAATGGCCAATTCGGAGTGCCTGAATGTTCCCCCAGAAACTTGGGCTTCCCTCCATCACACATTAATTATCCTCTACTGTCATGGCTTCTTAATCTGTTGTCAACAAAATAAAATTAATATACAAATTTAAATTTTGAAATATAATCCACTTTATGCTCCAAATAAAATTATATGGCAAAACTGCTTACCATGTGATAATACTTGTCATAAATTTTTTATGCAGATGTGCTAATGACTTCCAGTAGTTTTGTACACCATGGAGTTAATAATCCCTGACAAGTTTCTGTAAGGCTGTTGGTTGTGAAAGCCGCTAATTCCACTCGACAATGGGACAGAACCTAGCCTTAGAGCGAACCTTGGACAGCCAGGAAAGTCTCAATCAGAGCCAAGGTGTATGGGGAGATCTGGTGAGAGGACACCTGCATACCTGTTGAAGTAGCTCCTCCCTCTTGGATACATGCCCAGGAGTCTGTGATGTTGCAGAAGACACTGGAGGCCCAGCCATCAATACCTGACGCTCTACCTACCACCCTCCCAGCCCACAAGCCAGCAGAAGGCCAGATTATTATTTAAACTGAATCTATGTTGGGATGCTTTTTTTTTTCTTTTCTGTTCTGTTCTTCTCCCCTTTGTTCCTTCGTCTTTCCTCCCTTCCTTCCTTGCTGCCTGCCTGCCTTCTTTCCTACCTAAACCAAACTGAGACAATTCCAGTTTTGAAAGACAATTTCTTATACAAGAGGACTTCAATTAGGCACTTCTAAGTGTTGCCTGTGCTGAGTAATAAGATAGCTGAGCCACCACAATTTCTAAAACACCAGAGATTCTGTCTTTTCATTGACACTAAAACCGAGACTTTGTTTCTGCTAAACTACTTAGCTCGTCCAGCGGGGCTCTGCTGTGGGACTTTGAATCTGCCTTCCTGAGCCTACAGTGACTATCAGGAAAGAAAGAGAGTCCGGGTTGGAAGGCAAGTGGGAGGTGGATTGACACAAACTGCCAGCTGACAATCATCAGGAAGGGATGGGGACAATGGTCTGGACCACAGCTACTTCCTGAGGGCAGCCTGTCTTCGTGGGTCACCTCCAGTTTCCTGTAACGCCCTTCTTACTTTCAGACCCAAAGTCTGATGGTTCCTACAGATTCATGGCTCCCTGGATAGGTAAGTACATTGAACTAGGAATATAGTTCGCCTCCTGCTTAGGTTTGCCAACATCTATCCATCTGGCCCAGATTAAATAAGAGGTGACTGGTACCACAGTCTCTCCACTCAACTCTGAATTGAGCCCCCTTTCTCTTCTTCTGATAAAAACCTCACACCTTCCTTATGGTAGGGGAGCCCTCTTGCAGGTCAGCTTCTCCCCCATCACTTCTGAGTCCTCGCCAATGATCTCAGCCTAACTTTTCATGAAGTCAGCCTATTAACCATTCCTTCCTCTGTTTCGACCTCAAACTTAAGCTGTCGTAATCACTTCCTGTATACTACCCTTGAGGAAGTCCCCTTCCTGACATGCACTGGCCTTTCCTGCCTTGCCCAGGATGACCTTCTTCCGACACCCTGGGTTCCTCCCCAGGTGTCCCCAGAAAACTCTTGGGGGGTTCCTTCCACACACATACACCCCTTGTGGTCCAGGGTATGGTTTGCTCATGTTGAATGGGCAGGCGTGGTTCCAGCACAGGTGGATGCTGACTGCAGCCTTCCACTATGACATCTTGAAGCCCTACATGGGACTCATGGCCGATTCTGTCCCAGTGATGCTGGTAAGTTCAACCCCTCCTCACCTGCACACTCACACCCACAGCACAGTCCACAAAGTCCACTCTCAGACAGCTGTGTCCCTCAGACATCCATTAGACTTGGCCCTTGGAATCACCCACTTATAACATACTATGAGACAGGGCTCCCTGGGGATGGATGGAACAAGAAAGCACCCAGGCACCTGCTTTCATCCACTCTTTGCTCATTGCCCACAGGAGAGACAGTCATGGTAAATAAAGGGTTCCTTCTCCTCCCACTTCCATGCCTTTGGCTTGCACAGGAAGAGTAGTCAATGCCCCTGGACAACAGGACAAGCTGCCCCTGGCTGGCCTGGGCAGTAGCAGCTTCAGTGGCAGGGTGGACATCCCAGGATGTCACTCGGGTAGACTCTGGCCTGGGGCTGAAGGCTTCTGGTGGATTTTAGCCACTCCGTGGAGGGAAATGGTCTCTACCTCCAGGGCTGGGTCCTGCCATAACATCACCTCTGAGCATGACCCTATTTCTCACTCACTATGCTCAACTGATATTTGCTGAATAAGAGGAATTGAGGTCCCTGATATCCCCTCCTTAGGAACCCCAGTACTGGCCCCTTGACCTTTCCTTTGCCTTGACTCATGCTCCCTAAATTGGGGCTTCACCTGTTTCTCATGTGTATATCAACCCCAAGACATAAAAGATTCCCCCTTAGTCCCCTGAGAAACAATGTTTTCTGGTCTGCTAAAAGGTGGTTATCACCAAACTTATTCCTAAGTCAGACTATAAGAGATCATGATTAATTAAGTAACAACTTCCTCAGAGTATATTCTGAGAAAATACTCACCATATTACAGACACTTGGCTATACGGTCCTAAATTGATGAAACACAACCGCTTTATTTATTTATTTTTTTAATTTTATTTACTTTTGAGAGAGAGAGAATGAGAGGGGTGAGGGTCAGAGGGAGAAGCAGACTCCCTGCTGAGCAGGGAGCCTGATGCGGGACTCGATCCCGGGACTCCAGGATCATGACCTGAGCTGAAGGCAGTCGCTTAACCAACTGAGCCACCCAGGCGCCCCAACACAACGGCTTTAGAAAGTGAGGGCATCTCATCAGAATATGAGGAGAGGCAGAGAGAGAGTCTAGCCTTGTCAGCATGGGCCTTCTGGAGGAGTAGAGAAGGACCAATGTGTCCCTCTACCACAGGACAAATGGGAGGAGCTCCTCAGCCAGAACTCACCTCTGGAGATCTTTGGACACATCTCCTCGATGACGTTGGACACCATTATGAAGTGTGCCTTCAGCTACCAGGACAACCACCAGGCAGACAGGTCAGTGAAATCCTTAGCTGCCGGCTTCTATTTCTTACCAACTAGTGTGGACTTATCTGAGAGGCAGTTAGGGCAGCTGGGATGTTAACCAGCCCAAAGAGCTACATTCTGCAGAGAGCTCCAGGCCACAGTCAAATTCAGCCACACCAAGCCTTCATCCCTGCCACAGGGAGAAGCCTGGCTGCCAACGTCCCTCATAAGGGGCTGAGAGTCTCGAGGGTGTAAGAACAACATGACAAATGCCTAGGGTTGCCTGTCCCATTGACTGAGGAACGCTCCACCCACTGGCCCACTCCACTCCAGGTCAGATGCCTCCCTCCATCCAGTCCCTTCTGCATCCTCCCCTTTCAGGTACTTCCAATCCTACCTTCAGGCCATTCGGGACCTGAACAACCTGGTGCTTTCCCGGATAAGGAATGCTTTCTACCAGAAAGACTTCATCTACAGGCTGACCCCTGAGGGCCGCCGGAACCACCGGGCCTGCCAGCTTGCCCATCAACACACAGGTTGGGACTCTGCCCCCTGGGCCCCTCCCCTCCTTCATCAGGCACATCCCAAAGGGACTGACCCTGCCCCCTCAGGCAGAGTCCTGCCCCTCGCTGCCCCTCCAGGACCTGGGAAACACCCACCCCAGGCACTCCCCTGGTGCAGCTGTTAGGGTGCCAGGTGCTATGCAGGAAGCTGCATGTGTCACCACACGGGTGAAGGTTGAAGGAGAGCCCCTGCCAGCAGCATTCAAGCAGAGCCTCCTTGGGCTGCGCTGTTGAGGGGAGTGAGGACCGGCAAGCGCCTGGCGCTAGAGCTCTCCCCCGGAGAAGCACACCCATTCCCACGCTCCGGATCCACCTGGCAGGCTGACTGGGGCACAGGGGGCAGGTGGGCTACTGTGGGTGGCTGTGTCTGGGCACCCAGAGCTCTCAGCTCTGCCTGGGAACACTGTTCTGGACAGACCAAGTGATCAAGCTGAGGAAGGCTCAGCTGCAGGAGGAGGGAGAGCTCGAGAAGGTCAGGAGCAAGAGGCACTTGGACTTTCTGGACATCCTCCTCTTTGCCCAAGTGAGTGTGGCAGGGGAGGCCTGAGGCTTTGCAGACAAGTGTGGAGGAGGGGGGCAAACTCAAACCCTGCCCTCCTTCCCTGTCTCCCAGAGGGAGAACGGGAACAGCTTGTCTGACAAGGACCTCCATGCGGAAGTGGACACCTTCATGTTTGAGGGCCATGACACCACAGCCAGCGGCATCTCCTGGATCCTCTATGCTCTGGCCACACACCCCGAGCATCAGCAGAGGTGCCGGGAGGAGATCCAGAGCCTCCTGGGGGACAGCGCCTCCATCACCTGGTGAGTACTCATGAGATGGGAGGGCCCTGCCCCCTCAACTAGAGAATTCCCTGGTTGTCAGGGCCTTGCCGGCCCTTCAGGATAGCTTTGTTTTAGGGACCACCTGGACCAGATGCCCTACACCACCATGTGCATCAAGGAGGCACTGCGACTCTATCCGCCAGTTCCAGGTGTCGGCAGAGAGCTCAGCAAGCCCATCACCTTCCCTGATGGACGCTCCTTACCCAAAGGTGTGAGCCTCACCACTCTCACCCCATAAGTACTCTGCAGGAATGCGTGGGAGGTCAGAAATCCGCAAGTTCTGGGGCAGTTTGTGCATGTCTTTGAGACTCATTTCCCCCTCAAGAAAATCAAACATTACTTTGTTTGGATGAGGTTATGGTGTGCTTCCACCGAGCTTAAATCGGCCCAAAGATCAAGAAATAAATACATGACAGCCTCTGAATGGGGCTGTGTGAGTTGCCCTAATATTCTAATGTCCTGAGTTATGAGTGCTTGAGAGATAATCAGATGGGGCAGGGGTAGATGTGGTCTTTCCTTATAGGGTCTTGGCTAACGAGCGAGATTAGAGTATTCACTGTGAAATGTCAGATGGTCCAGTCTCCGGGGAACCCTCAGGTTGATGGCCCGATCTGAGATCCCTGCTATGACTGGAGGCCACCTTTCAGCTCCCCTCTGCTCCGAATCCCAGCCCTGCCACGGCTTGGCTGGGTGGTCATAGGCAAGTTGGTCAGCCTCTCCGTGCTCAGGTGCCTCATGGGACCAATGGAGATGTGAGCCTTCATTGGAGGGTTGTTGTGAGGATGGAGGAGTTCATGCATATTCCCCAAGGGCTCATGGATGGTACTGATAAATGTGAGTTGTCCCTTGAGTTGCTCCAAAAAACAAGCCTCCAGCTCTTTCCTGCTTCTCAGCCTGGTCATGGTTATCTACTAATCTGTGCACACATGCACACATTCTGTGCCATGTCTGCCCCACCTCTCCTGCAACACTATCATTCCATTCACAGAGCTGAAAAGTGGCTCTCACTGTGGCTGCCAAGCTTGTGTGGGTGCACCTGGGCCCCACAGGCATGTATGATCAGTCTTCTCTGTTCTGCCCCCACAGGATTCTCAGTCTTGCTCTCCTTTTATGCCCTTCACCACAACCCCAAAGTGTGGCCAAACCCAGAGGTATGATGGCCTTGGGAGGAGGGCGTGGGATGACCTCTCCAAACCAACCTCCTTCTCCTGTCCCACCTCTGGGTCTGCTGTCCCTTGGATGATTGGAAGGAGGGGCCTGATTATGCCTGTCCTGGCCCTGCTGCTCCTTCTGCAGGTGTTTGACCCTTCCCGGTTTGCACCAGATTCCTCTCGACACAGCCATGCTTTCCTGCCCTTCTCAGGAGGAGCAAGGTGAGGCACTTGTACCAGGAGGGGGGAGAGGGGCTGTTTCCTGGGTACATACATGATGTTTGTGACCTCCTACATTGGTGTGGGTGTCTTCAGATATGCCCTGGCATGTTGGCGTGCTGGGAAAGAGGTGTGTGTCTCTATGACAAAGAAAGTTGGTAATTACTCCACGCCATGGACACTTGGACCCATTGCTCTTACCCAGTCTCCAGCCACAATTCAGTGTCAGTGGGTGTTCAGAAACTCAGGGTATTCTTGTGAGTTCTGCATTTTATGAGTATGACTTTATAGAATTAGATTTTCTCACATGTTCTTTTCAAGTGTTGTCGATGTCAAAGTCAGGATGGAATCAAAAGATGTCTTTTGCACACATCCTCAAACCAGCCTTTACCACTCAGCTCCCCATTCCACCCCACACTGCACCATTGACTACATTGCATGTGTTTCCATCCTCAGCTGCCCGCATGTCTCAAATATTTAAGCCATACACAGGAAAGTTTCCTGCAGTCTCTTAAGGCCTTCATAAAGTACTCGACTAATCTGTGTTGCCACTATATTTTCATCTATCCAGATGAATTTTTGATTCCACGGTAATGGTCATGTACACTTGACAATTTTCCCAGTTGTCCAATCATTACATATGATCTGGGCTCTACATACCTTAATGTTACACTTAGAATCCAATCATCCAAATGGGCAAATATATAAAAACGAGGACATTAAATTGCTTTTGAGAGAAAATCTACTCTGTTGTATGTATATGACACACGGAGTTTGAACCTTACCTGGTGTGTCAAACGTAAAGCACACTTGAAACGGCTGTTCAGTGGGATGATTATTCTCCAGAGTGGCCTCTGTGAAATCCTCTAGTGCTGCTGAAAGTGTCCTATAAATAGTAACTACAGTAAACTTTGTAAGTAGTTACTAGAAAAATGGTTTTTTCCAAATACAGAAATCTGCCAATGCTTCACATACGGAGGGAATCCACTTTCACACACCATCTTAAGCAAATTATTCTTCAGATACTGGCTCCAGGATTTGTTTCTCCCTGGGATTGAGTCCTTCCTCCTAGACATTGGTGCAAGTCATGTAGCTGCCAGTAGAGACAGGAGAGGGGTAGACAGCTCAATTCCTAGCTCAGAACTAATGGTTACTCATATTTTATTCCATTCAGGGTTTTTTCTTTTCAGTTCAATAAACATCGTTCAATTATAAGACTGCCTATCCTCTGTTATGAGATGGCATACTGGCCTTGCCTCCAGGAGTTCACAGTCAAGAAATAAATGCCTCCACTCAAAAGGACATCATTCATTCCATCTTTCTTTCTTTCTTTCTTTCTTTCTTTCTTTCTTTCTTTCTTTCTTTCTTTCTTTCTTTCTTTCTTTCTTTCTTTCTCTTTCTTTCTTTCTTTCTTTCTTTCTTTCTTTCTCTCTCTCTCTCTCTCTTTCTTTCTTTCTTTCTTTCTTTCTTTCTTTCTTTTCTTTCTTTTCTTTCTTCACTCATTTACTAATTGAGCCCACTGTAGGAAGCTCCATGTTTCTGGCACTTTCCTGTTCTGGAAAGTGATGTGTCTTTGAGTAAAATACATGGTGATTTCAGTGTTCAGGAATGAAGAGGCACAGCCAGCAGGGGTGGGGGGTGAGGGCAGGCTGGCATTGCCCTTAGCCTTGAGCATGTGGCAGGCAGAGGTGGAGGGAGGGCATTCTCTGGGATCTCTTCAGCAGGAGCTGAGCTGGGAGGAGGAGCTGGACAGGTGACAGGTGAGTGAGCCAACAACCCAGAGAGGACTTTGATGCCATCTGAGGCATGTGGACATGTCCTACCTGTGATGGAGAGCATGGGAGGCTCTGATCTGGGCTGGGGCTTCAGGAGAGGGAACAGAGGCAGGAGACAGAAAAGTCCGGATGAGGAGGTTGAGGGATGGCAGGCAGGGACATTGCTGCTGTAGAACTGGAAGGCTATAGCAGCTGGTTGACTGAGGGGCTGAGGGGGAGACAGGAGTCTGGACCCAACCTGGAAGGAAGTTGGTGCAACAGGCAGAGCGTCAAGGCTCTGCCCCTGCAGAAAGCTTCCCTGTTGTCATTCTGACTTCCTGACCCAACCCTGTCTCGTCCTTTCTGAGGATCTGGATCCCTGTGTGCCCCAGATGGTTAGGGCCTGAAGTGTGGCCCAGCCCACCCCCTATGGTGCCCTGGCCTGGTCTCCACATTGTGAAACCAGAAATTGCTTGTGCAGAGAGCAAACAACTTAATAATTCACTGTTTTAGTGATCACTTGACTTGGCCCCGAGGCTCAAGATGCTGACCCTCTTGTAACAGGATTTCAGGACTACTGAGACCAGAGGTAGAGTAGGAGCTAATCCTGGAAGAGTGTAGGCTTTGTCAAAGTCAAGGGGAGAGTGTGAAACAAGCAAGACTGCGTAGGCGTAGAGATGTGTTTGTGTCCTGAGGAAAGGGGATCTGGGCTGGGCCCATGCAGGAGGGCCCTGAATGTGCTGTTCCTAGCAGGGGGTTTGAGGCCACTCCTCATTTCCGTTTCCCTCCCTGACCCAGGAACTGCATCGGGAAGCAGTTTGCCATGAACGAGCTGAAGGTGGCGGTGGCCCTGACCCTGCTCCGCTTTGAGCTGGCACCAGATCCTCTCAAGGTCCCTGTTCCCACTCCAAGAATTGTGTTGATGTCCAAGAATGGGATCCACCTGCATCTCAGGAAGCTCCTCTAACACTTGTGGGGACAAGGATCCTGCCTGCCATCCTGTCTTCCTGTCGGTCTCTCCTGTCTGCTGTCTTCCGCCCACTTCCTGCTTTCACTCTGCCTACCTGCCAGCCTCCCTGATCTCTTCCTCTTGTGCATCAGACTGTCTGCCCTTCTCTGTCTCCCCCTTTCCCAAGATTCCTACTTGTTTGCCTGTTACCTTTCTCCTACCCAGCTTTAGCTCTGACTGCCCACTAAATCAATACCTGCCTCTTTCCCAGCCTGCCTGTCCTCTGCATGTCTTTCTCCTTTTGTGCCTATTTGATTGTCCCTATATTATTTTCCTCTGGCTGCTATAATAACTGACCACAGCCTTAGTGACTTAGAACAACACCAATTCGTTCTCTCACAGTTCTGGCGTTCAAAGTCTAAAATAGATTTTGCTGGACCACAGCCAAGATATTGGTATCTTGAGATATCCCTCTCTCTGCCTTTTCCAGCATCAAGTGCATTCTTTGTGATCTTTAGCTCCTGGAGCCTGCTCTTTTCAAATCCAACAGCATCTTTCAATATCCTTTTGCTTCTGTCTTCATATCACCTTGTCTTCCATAAGGACTTTTGTGATTAGACAGATGCACTCAGATAACACAGACATATCTCAACTTCCAGGACATGGACTTCTTGGGGAGCCATGATTCAGCCTGCTTAGTCCCTATGTGACTGCTATTAGTCCATGCTTCCAGCTCTCTCCTGTGTGTTACCTACATCCCTATTTGTCATTCACATACCCTCCTCTTCTTTCCTCCTCCCTCAAATAAATTTCTTAATGTTGCATGGAGTGCGTGCTTTCCCTTGGAGGGAGATAAATGGAAGAGAAGAGAGAGAAGGGGAGGAAAGATGGAGGAGACAAGGAAGGGAGGTAATATCTGCTCTGTGATGCCAGGACCCCAGGAGGGCCGGATGTGTCCTGTTGTCTCAGGCCATGGAGTGGTTGGCTTTCCAAGAGGTACTAGGAGGAGCCCATGTGGGCAAATGGATTGGCCAGTGGGAAAGAATGTCAGACCTCAATCAGCAAACTACTGGTGGCACCTCTCCCACAGGACAGCCCCTTGGCAATCCCTTGCATCTATGGTCGGCCAACCCTGCCCATTATGTGACTGCTTGGGTACTGGTTCTCCTGACCCTGGTCTCTGTTCCCAGGCCCTCTTTGCCCTCCTCCACCAGCCTCTCTCAACCCAGCACTATTCTTTTGTTGGTTCTAAACACAGATCTTCCTCCTGTCCTACCCCCTGCCATTCTTAGCCCAGACCCTGGATGTCACAGACAGACCTCCCTGAGCCCTCTGCCTATGGTGTAATGCCACATTCATTCTGCCTCCCCAAGGGGTTTCTTCCCCAGCTGGTGCTTGTACCCAGACCTCCCTTTCAGTCCCCTGGCTTCCTAGGTCACTTGGCTAGTTGAGCCACACTTTGAGAAGGGACAGGGTAGATGCTTTGTGTTTGACCAGGGATAAGGGCAGGAAAGTAAGCTGGGAAAGTGCTAGACAAGAAGGTTGGCAGATTCCCTGGCATCGGGTGGTGCAGAAGGGCAAGGGCTAGCGAGGCTCAAACAGTTCAAGATGATGGGAACTTGGAATTCTGAGCGGCCAGCCATGGATGGACACATGCCCTAACCACAGGATTATGTTGAGGGTAAAGAATGTGACCAAGAAGTGACCCTGCAAAGGGTCTAGGCAAAGGAAAAAACCTAGGGTGAGTTCACACTCATATGCACAACCTCCATGACACATACATGTGTAACCACACCTGTGTGCACTGCTCACACACTCCACACTACCACACACATGCACAACAAATGCCTGGGGTCATAGGAGGCAACAGGGTATGTTTGGAGGGCTGCAAGGATTAAGTGAAGTTCATCTTTGGTGCCTACTAGTCTGCAACCTCAGTCCTCCCCTCCCATGTGGAGCCTCTCCCTTCTTTCAGGCTCTAGAGTTCTCAGCTCCATTTCCCACTGATATAAGCTCTCAGAGAGACAGTCCACGCACCTATGGAGTCTTGGTCAAAAGAGGCCAAAGTCAGAAGGCCTCAGTGCAAGCTGTTTTCTGATGAACATCTTGGCAGTTTCCTTCCTCTGACATTGAAGTAGGGTAAGTCCTGCCTCATAGGCTTCCTGACAATCCAGAGATAAGGGAAGTAGACAAGTCTTAGACTTGGGTGCCACCCACGGGCTACAAATGGTTATGACCTTGGGTTCTGCTCTCAGGTGATGACTATTGATACATACCTCTGCTTGTATGGATAAAGATCTATCCAGGGTCAGGACAGAGAGGGAAGTTGGTGGCATGGGTGACACTGTGGCTGAGGCCTCTGCATCCCAGTCTCAGGTGGGCAAGGAGGTCTGGGTCTTGACAGGGCTTCACAGGAGTAAGCAGGTGGCCCATAGCCAAACTTCCAGGGCTGTGGCCTTCTTCTAAGAGGGGAAGTGTCAATAGCAGGAAGGATGTATCTCCAGATGGTACATCCCCAGGACAACATAGAGACATCCCCAAGTCCCAGGGCTAGAATTACCCTCTCTTATCCTGTCCCTTCGTCTCCAGTGTCCTCTCTTCCAATGTTGTCTAATTCCTGGATTAGAACCCACTAGTGGCCTTAGACCTTGAACCCTAGAGGTACACAGGACCCCAGCCATCAGGCAGCTGCTGCAGGAACTACTGAAGAAGAATCTCTAATTCATCACTTGGCCCCAGCCTAAGGCCCTCCCCCAAAGTCATTCTTTGCACCTTTGTACCTCACCTGCCTCAAGCTTGATTCAAGCACAGTGATTCCAGGAAGCCCCCCTTTAATGCCACTCTGCCACCTTCCTCAGCAAAAGCCTGAACACCCAGAGCACTGGGAGACTGTGGCATAGATGTTGACAATGGCAGGAATGCTACAGAGACCTGTCTCAGCAGGGGCAGAAGATACACCTGGGGAAACCATACTCCATATTCCTGGATTTCAGTGGTGGTTACCTGGGAATTTGCTTTAGAAATTAATCGTCCTGTACATTTTTTATTTACGCAATTTTACTTTATGTCTGTTATATTTCACACATGCACACACAGTTAAGCAGAGAAATACATCTCAGTGAAGGGGTAAACCCCCAAAGCCATCTTTCTTTCATGTGGAGCGGATGAGTGCCTGATCATAATCATGAAGCCCAAGACACAACTTCCATTGTGTTCATTGTGTCACCACAGCTGGCATATAAGTTTCTGCTACCTTCTAGAAAGACTGCCAATTTGGGGAGAGAAAGGAAGATTCTAGAAGCAAGTAGGTGCTCACCGCGTTTGTGGAATGAATGGATGAGCTCTAGAATACATGTATACAAAACATTTCCAGACACACATGCTGGCATGGCACTGCCCTCCAGGTGATTGTTTATGTGGGTGCCTGCTCTCCATCTAAACTACAAGCCTCCCAAAGATAGGGAGCCACAGCTATTCTATAATCCAGCCTTGGGAGGGCAGTGTCTGGGCTGTCTGGGACCCTATTCTCTGCAGAGCTACTTCCCAGAGCCTGGGCGCAGCGACTTCAGGCGGAGGTAGATGCCATTCTTGGAGCGCAGGATCAGCTGGGGCATCTTGATGGGGGGCCGCAAGGGGTCCAGGGTGAACTCAAAGCGGAGCAAGCAGAGGGCTGTGACCACCTTCATCTCATTCATGGCAAACTGCTGCCCGATGCAGTTCCTACCGTGAGTAGCACAAGGTGGTATCAGGCTATGGGGTGTCCAGAGTGAGCAAATCCAGGGTTCTTAGCGGCCAACAAAAACCAGTAACTGCTTGTGAATGAATAATTAGCTGATTGGTTGATTGACTTGGGGCTTAGGAAACAGATCTTGGGAGCACAGTGAGGGTTCCAGACTGAGTAGATTCACATTGGGAATTCCGGTCTGGGGGCCTTTCTTGGAATGACTCAGCCAGCCCGCCACCTGCCAGGGACATGAATATGCTAATGGCAAGAAGAAGATCCCTGGAACTTACCTTACTTTAGGATCATCAAAAACCCAGTGGCAGCCCCCTTACCACAGAGTTTCCCAAATGATGCTTTCCCCACAGCATCCTCCATTCTCCCTTCCCCAGTCTTGGCGGCCTGGGGATGTTGGGCCTCTCCTTACCTGGGCCCAGCAGAGAAGGGCATGAAGGCGAAGGGGTGGCGTGTGGCCACATTCTCAGGGGAAAAGCATAGAGGGTCAAAGACCTGAGAGGACAAGCCTTGCTTAAATATCTGCCAGGCCCTGGGGAGGGTGATCTCCATAGCCTCCTACCCTATGTGACCTCCAGGCCCAGGGATGTGGTACCTCAGGGTCAGGCCATACTACGCTGTTCCTATGGAGGGCATAGATGTGCAGAGAGATCAGGCTGCCTGTGGGCAGAGCAAAGGCCTGGTAGCTAGGTGGTCCTGAGATAGCCTCACCCACCTCATCACAGGGCCAGAATCCCCTAGTGTCCTTCTAACTGGGCACCAGCCCCTGCCTGAGCACTGCCAGTGACTGAGGGTTCATGACCACCCTCAAGACATCAAAGTGCTTTTGATGATCATCATATCTACTTCCTCTAGCCCCAGCACTGGACACAGCACCTAACACAGACATTTGTGGAATGGTGAGAGAAAAAAAGGAGGACTGAAACTACCTCACTGTGAGGTAGGACAGGCAAGGTCTATTACAATACTTTGTTCTTTCAAATAATTGAAGGAAGTTACTATTCATGACATTACGCTATTAATAGTAACATATACATCTACCATTCATTGGGTGCATGTTGTGTGCCAGATACAGAGTTAAATGCTCCTTACAAAGCTACCACATACAGTTGTATAGGTTGTGTACTGCACATCATCATAGTCTATGTGAATGGTGCCTCCTGAAGTTGTTCAGGGCACAACCTACATGGTGGTACATGACAGCCCTGATAAATACTGTCTCTTTAATCCTGACAACTTGTCAGGCAAATACTCTTCTTGCCCCCATTTTACAAAAGAGGAAACAGAGGCTCGAGGTAGAAGGATTTACCCATACATTGTAGAACCAGGATTTGGACCCAGGCCAAATGCAAAGCCTGAGCTCTTCCCCACTGGTGCAAAGATTTGACCAAAGGCACAGAGACTATCAGAGAAACATCCACAAGGACTCCAGTTCCACCCCCAAATTCACTCCAACTCACCTGATAGTAGGGAGCGGCCATCCACAAAGTTGACAAACTTGCTGAGCTGGCGGTACACCTGGGGCAGGGTAGGTAGAGGCAGAAGCTCTCCTTGATGCACATGGTCAAGTAGGTCATCTTCCCCAGATCATCCCTGCCAGCAATACAAGCAGACCTTTCTGGGGATGTGGAGCAAGGGGCTTCCACGGGAAGGCAGGCTCCAGCCCCACTTTCCCCTCTTAACCACCATCACACATCCAATAGTGAGAAGGACACAAGTGCTCCAAGTGCCCAGACCAGATTGGACATGGGGTAGCCACTCCGACCCAGAGGTTCTGGCTCCAGTTTTCCTTTTTTTTTTCCTTTTTTTCTGGCTCCATTTTTCTCCACCTCTCCCTCATCTTTGCTGCTAGGAAGGGAAGACATAGGACCCTAGAGCTGCATGTGCACCCAGCCATCAAGACAAAGTCACTCCTGTGTCTCTTAAGGCCCCACGGAATACCACGAGGAATAATTCTTTAGGTTCCACTTGGTCTCCCCTGTGGAACTGAGGTAGAAAAAAACAGGGGCTGATACACATTGGTTGAATGAACTAATAAGTGCATAAACAACGACAAGCTCAGGTAAAAAACAAAAATTATGTTTCTTTTTTCCCCTTTGCCACCAGGAAGCTCAGTCCCAAATGTGATCCAATCATGACTATTGAGCAGCACTTTATTACAGAGCCCCAAACCCTAGGGCTTTTCCACCTAGTCTTCAATTTTTTTTTTTTTAGATATACTTGACTTTATTAAAATGGGGAACTTGTATTCATCAAATAATTCACCCCTTAGAGGGATGCCTGGGTGGCTCAGTTGGTTAAGCATCTGCCTTCAGTTCACGACGTGATCCCAGGATCGAGCCCCACATCAGGCTCCCTGCTCAGCAGGGAGTCTGCTTGCCCCTCTCTCTTTGCCTCTCCTGCGCCTTGTGCTCTCTCTTTCTCCCTCTCACTCGCTCAGTTCTCTCAAAAATAAATAAATAACATCTTCAAAAGAAAAAAAAAAAAGACACCTTAGAGGAGATGAAATGGCAGGTTACAAACTGGGAGAAGAGATTTTCAATTAGCATTACCAGGACTCATTCTTTCCTTTGTGTTTTACTGTAGTATTGAGTAAGTGTCCTTGAAGTTGCTTCAAGTTCTAGATGAAGTGAAAATAACATAGATAAATATTTTAACACGCCGCCTCCCGGTGGTGTTCCTGTTGTCACCTAATCTGGAATGCTCATTTCTCTCTTCCTTTGCTTATCTGAGTTTCACCCCTCCTTGGAAAGCCAGCTCAAGCTCCACCCCTTTTGAGTCCTCTGCTCTCGACAGTATTCTGTCGAGAGCAGTATTACTTCTCAGTATTCTCAGTATTACTGAGGGCTTCTCAGTATTACTCCATTCTGTGGTTTTTTTCTAGATTTTTGGTTAGTGAGTTTGTCTTTCTAAAAACATCCCAAGGGCAGGCAGCACCTTAGCTCTTTCTCCTCCTCTCCCCACACACGACCCCAGAAGCACTGGCAGTTGGCTGGACACACTGCGAGGTTTCCAACATTCGGCCAATAAAGATGGGTGGTGGAGACATCAGATCTCAGATCCTGAAATTAAAGGTCAGTCTCCCTTAGGTGAATCCAAAATCTCTCGCATCAACTGAGCATTTTCTGTGCTGTGTTGTGTACCTAACCCTATGCTGGAGGGTAACACAGGAGCCAGAGAGAGAGGTCAGGTGCGTGACGGGAGGCCAAGGCCTGAGGGGAGGAGGTAGGGAAAGAAGGGCCCGCGGGAGAGTCCCAGAGATCAAGCACGCTCCCGAGAGGTCAGCATAAGTAGGTGTCAGGTCAATGAGTTCAAGTTTGAACCAAGAAACAGAGAACAATCGAAAGATTTTAAGTGATGGGGTTTGGAAAACAGCCTTTTCTTCTTCACCAGAGGAGTCTAGAGGCAGCACAGGGCCATCCAAAGGCAGTTGGGACAGGGGGTAGGGGTAGGGTCAGCTCCCCAGGTATCCCACCTATATTCTTTTCTTTTTTTAAGATGTTATTTATTTATTTGACAGAGAGAGAGATAGCGAGAGCAGGAACACAAGCAGGGGGAGTGGGAGAGGGAAAAGCAGGCTTCCCGCGGAGCAGGGAGCCCGATGCGGGGCTCGATCCCAGGACCCTGGGATCATGACCTGAGCCTAAGGCAGACGCCTAACGACTGAGCCACCCAGGCGCCCCTCCCAGCTATATTCTTGCCCAATTCCCTCCTCTCTCTCTCTCTCCCACTGCCCACTGTTCCATCTAGCAACCCAGAAGGGCAGTCAGGTTCTACCAGCAGAGGAAGTCAACAAACAAAAAGGTCACAGATCACTTGGGCAGAGGGATCAGGGAAGATTTCCTGGAGTAGGAGGCATCCAAGCTGTGCCTGGGAGGACAGATAGGAATCTGAGGGAGTCGCCCGGATTCCTATCTATGAGGTGTCAACAGGAGGCTGACACCTGAAAAGGGCTCCACTGTGGGAGAATGGGCTCAGGGGTGTATCCACAGAGGTCCCTCCAAAAGCCACAGCACTGGAGGGAACAAGACAACTGCCACCACCCTCACCTGGTTTCCAGGATGGCCCTGCATCACCCGAAGATGACACCGGGGAGCATAGGCGCAGTGCATCCCTGGGACAGGGAAGAAGGACAGACTGGGCTTACTGGCAGCCTCGCTCACCACTGGAAGGAATCCCAGTCCCCAAGGATCTCACAGACCTCCTCCCGACAACGATGCTGGTGCTCGGGGTGCAGGGCCATGCAGTAGAGAAACCAACAGATGCCACTGGTGGTGGTGTCATGGCCTTCAAACATGAATGTGTCCACCTCAGCCCGGAGATCTGCGTCTGACAACTTGATCCCATTTTCATCCTGGGTTAGGGAAGGCATGATGGGACAGCCCGAGGCATTTGAGATAGGTACCAAGAAGACCTCATAACATGAATGTCCAAGGGAGGGAAGGAAAGCTCCTTTTCAGGCTGGGGTTTGAGACCTTCCCCAGATTCCTATCTGTCCTCCCAGGCACAGCTTGGATGCCTCCTACTGCAGGAACCCTTCCCTGATCCCTCTGCCCAAGCGACCTGTGACCTTACCCAGCCCTAACTGTCAGTTCTGCTCAGAATGCCACCTGGCAGAGGAGAGGTCTTTGTCAAAGTCTACCTCCTGTCTCCTCCACTAAATTATAAATATCCGGACGGCAAAGCCAGGTCTTTCTCATCTTCTGCATGGGAACTAACACAGGGTAGGGGTTAGTGAGTTTAGAGAGTGGATGAATAAAGGAATGAATGAATGAATGAATGACATCTAAGATTCTAAGATTCTTCAGTCTTAGAAGTCTAGAATTGGTGGGCACCGGGTGGCTCAGTCGGTTGATTTTGGCTCAGGTCATGATCTCAAGGTGGTGAGATGGAACCTGCATCCTGCTTGTGCTGGGCGTAGAGCCTGCTTAGGATTCTTTCTCTCCCTCTCCCTCTGTCCCTCCCCCCCACTTCTACCCTCCTCTCCCTCTCTAGAAAAAAAAAAACAGAAGTCTAGAATTGGTCTTTAGGACTTCTAGCACGTGACCTGGCCTCCCACATCTTGCCCCAGTGCCACAGCCAGCCACAACCTGCACCTTGCCATCTCTGAGCCTTTGTTGATGTGCTTTGTCAAAGACCAGGGGCAGGTCCTATTTGCTGGGGGAAAAGGAGGGAAATGCTTAACAGCCCCTGCTGCTGTCCAGTGAGCCCTGTCCCAGGAAAATGGTCTGAAGAACCCTCTGGGACAAGTTCTCAGGTGGGGGTGGCCAACTGTGTCCTCACTCACCTGAGCCCCCAGAAGAATGTCCAGGAAGTCCAGGTGTCTCCAGCTCTGGATCTTCTGCTGCTCTTTCTCATCCTGCAGGGCTGCCTTTCATTCCCTGATGACCTGGTCTGGGCCAGGAGCACATAGTGTCATTGCCTGGGGACCCATCCTCTACCCAAAGGGGGACAGAGATCCTGCAATGGCAGAGGTCCCAGAGGGGCCTGAAGGGGCTAGACTGGACCCTGGGCTTCCCGTGGGTGGGCCCTGCGGGAAAGGCCCACCTGTGCGGTCGTGGGCTGCCTGGCAGGCCTGCAGGAAACAGCGACCACGTGGGGTGAGCCAGTAGATGAAGTCGTTCTGGTACTGGGAGGACTCAGTGCGCTGCTGCATAAGCAGAGTGAGGTCGCTGACAGCCGAGTAGTAGCTACCGTCCCTACACAGCAGAAGAGCAGGGAGGAGGGCTCAGACCCTGACCCACAGCAGAGCCTGGGGCTCTCCACAACCACAGTGCTTCCTGCCCTCCCTCTCCCTGACCTTAAGCCTCCCCACTAAAGGCAGAATTTATCTCCCCACCATGGGCAAGGCCCAGCTCCCCCCACCCCCCGCCCAAGCTGGGGCTCCCTAGGGCAGGACCCCATATCCTCTCAGACCAGGGCCCTGGAGTCCTGCCCACTCTCCTCTGAGCTGGCCTGGGTGGAGATGGTGGTCAGCCCCGAGCACCCCCTGACCTGTGGCCCGGACCACTGTCTCCTTTGCCAAAGGTGCACTTCGTGAGTGAGTCCAGTGCCATGTGGCCCACATCACAGAAGATGTCAAAGCTCTTATCCTCACGAGGCTTTTCCTCCCACTTGTCCTGGAGCCCAGAGATGGAGGGTAATGTCAGGGGGTCAGCTGGGCACTGAACCCCTGCCCTCAAGGACCAACAACCTGTCCTTTCCCCCATGCACCAAGTCCCTAGCCTGACCTCCATCCCGCTGGAATGTGGGGGTAAGGGCTTCAGGCCCACCTGCCTCCTGGCCCACACAGCACACACAGACACCGAGCCAGGCAGCCTACCTAAGGGAAGAGGAGAGCTGAGAGGTGGGGATCTCCCCAGCACAGCCTGTGCATGATCAGGCCTGCAGGGATGCTGGGGAGGAGTTTTCTGCAAGGGGAATGACTAGCCTGGGTAACTTCTGGGGATGATCCAGACCTGAGACTCAGAGCCTGACCCCTGACCTTTGGCATCCCTTTCAGAGCTGAGTTGCTAATGACATTATTTTAGGCAGTTGTGGTAGGCAGAGAATGAGGAGGAGACACTTTTCAGATGAGAACGACCTTCCTAATATTCTCAAATATAGGCCTCCCTCCAGTCTGCTACAGGAGGAGCCTTACTGGGGCCTCACAGGGGCCCTTGACCTAGGAAGAGGGAGGCCTGGGTCTCCCAGTAAACATAAGGGCAGGCCTGCCAGGCCACTTAGAGCCTCAGCACCTGGTGTCAGGTGCAGCAAGGCTTGGCACGGCGACTGCAGGCAGAACGGGGCCTCAAACTTAGCAAATCTCCTCATGGCCCTTCCCCAGGGCGAACTGGAGGTGGGAGAGGCTGGCGCAGCAGCCTCAGCCTCCAGGAGCCTGGCACTGGGAGCTCACCAGCATAGCGTGCGTGGAGTTGGCGAACACAGCCACGTAGGGGTTCAGCACATCGTCGTGGAAGCCAGGTGTGAGCAGCTTGTGGTGCTGATACCACTTGGGCCTCTGGAGCACCAGGAGGCCTCTCCCTGGGGAAGAGATGGCAGAGGGAAAGCTGGTCAGTGCGCACAGTCCTGCCCCACCCCTGGCAGCCTGGGGCGCCCACCCCAGTCCTCCTTGCCCAGTCGCACATCCCAACCCAGCTCTGCCTCCCAGCCTCCCAGCCTTGCAGCCTCTGGTGACTCCAGCCTTGGCCCTACCACCGCTCCCCGCCTCAGGCTTTTGCCTGGCCCACACCACCGATACAATCTCCTGGGATCCCACTCCAGCGCCGCCGATCCAGAAAGCTCTTCCTCATACTCACGTATCTTCCAGAGCCCTGGCTCTGCCTTTCCAGGGAAGAAGGTATACCCAGGAGGAGAAGGTACCTGAACCCCACTTCCCCAGCCAGCTGGGAGCTCTCTTGCCTCTTCCCCTGTCTCCCCACAGGGCAGCTAAGCTTAGGGGGGGCACTTGGGGGCCAGGTGGTCCCATATGAGATAACAGACTGAGGGAGCACAAGGCAGAGAGGGAAGGGACAGGGAAGGATCCTGGTAACCTGGCACCAAGGGCAGGGAAGGCAGGTGTCCACTCACCAATCCACTGGAGGAAGAAGTCATACACATCCGCAGCCTTAGGATCTGTTAGAGAAAGAGAAGATCGGGTCATGCAGAAACAAGCAGATGCCCAGAGGAGGCTTATTGATCAATAGGATCAACAGGACCTCAGCTGCCCAGACTTAAGGTGCAGGCCCCAGGATTCCTTCCTGCTTGGAACCCTGAGCCCTTTGCTCTCAGGAAGCCCCACCCTCTCCTGGGAGTCCTCACCCCCTCGGCTGTACACAGCTTTGGCATAGTCGGGCTCAGAGATGTTCAGGAAGCCAAGGAACTGTCCAAGCCAGAGTGGGTGGGCATAAGGGAACTGGTGGGCCCAGGATACCACCTTGTCCAGGCTCCCTGTCTGCTGGATCTGAAACGGTGACAGAAGACCAGGATACTCAGGAACACACTGTCACCAGCCAGGCCCTAGGTTCCTGAGCAAGGAAGGCAGGGGGCTGCCCAGACAGACCCTGGGAGCATCATTCCCTCTGACATCCCTCTCCCAGCCAGTCACAGTCCTACACGTCTCTGGGGTCAGTCCCCTCTCCAGACCCAGAGACACCACGATAAGTCCAAGCCACCCTCTTGCTGTACCTGGGTGAGCTCAACAACCACAAGCTGGCCAACCTGCTTCCATCTGGTTCCTGTCATCAGCCCTCTATCTATGCTGCTCTGAGAAAGAGATTTCTTTTGGCATTAAAGCTGTTTTCATGGGAGTGGTAACTCCAGCTTGCTGTGCAATGCAGAAATCTGCTCAATTCTGCCCCTGTTATGTCATTGGACACATTTTTCTTGAGGACCTATTATGTGCAGGGTACTGTCTAGATGTCTCAGGTCATGAGACAGACCTGGTCCTACCCTTTCAATCCATGGGGCAGACCAATTATATTCAACTAAACAATCAAGGAGTGTGAATACACCCAGTAGTTAGTGCTAAGAAGGAAGGAGACAGTGTTATGAGAGAGACTAGCAGGGAGAATCTGCTTGGAGAGGGAGATCGGGGATGGCCCCCGGTTGGCGAGGACATTCAAGGTGAAACCCGGAAGATGACAAGCAGCTGGTGGGGCATACAGCAAGGGACAGCATTCCTGGTAGAGCAAACAACAAGCACCAAAGCTCTGGGGCAGGAAAAAGTAGTGGTGTCATCCAGAAGCTGCCACCTGGTGGGACGGTGGCCTGAGATGAGGCTGGAGATCATCCAGGGGGTAGTGTGTGCTCTTTGGTGGGTTTTCTCACCACATCTACTCACCCAGCGGTGTTTTCTGTAAATGGAGTATACAATAAGTACTTTTATGAAACCTGTTTTTTTTTTATTCTTATGTTAATCCCCATACATTACATCATTAGTTTTAGATGAAGTGTTCCATGATTCATTGTTTGTGCATAACACCCAGTGCTCCATGCAGAATGTGCCCTCCTCAATACCCACCACCAGGCTAACCCATCCTCCCACCCCCCTCCCCTCTAGAACCCTGTTTGTTTTTCAGAGTCCATCGTCTCTCATGGTTCGTCTACCCCTCCGATTTCCTCCGCTTCATTCTCCCCTCCCGCTACCTTCTTCTTTTTTTTTTCTTAACATATATTGCATTATTTGTTTCAGAGGTACAGATCTGAGATTCAACAGTCTTGCACAATTCACAGCGCTTACCAGAGCACATACCCTCCCCAGTGTCTATCACCCAGTCACCCCATCCCTCCCACCCCACCCCCCACTCCAACAACACTCAGTTTGTTTCTTGCGATTAAGAATTCCTCATATCAGTGAGATCATATGATACATGTCTTTCTCTGTTTGACTTATTTCATTCAACATAATACCCTCCAGTTCCATCCACATCGTGCAAATGGCAAGATCTCATTCCTTTTGATGGTTGCATAATATTCCATTGTATATATATACCACATCTTCTTTATCCATTCATCTGTCGATGGACATCTTGGCTCTTTCCACAGTTTGGCTATTGTGGACATTGCTGCTATAAACATCGGGGTGCACGTACCCCTTCGGATCCCTACTTTTGTATCTTTGGGGTAAATACCCAGTAGTGCAATTGCTGGATCATATGGTAGCTCTATTTTCAACTTTTTGAGGAACCTCCATACAGTTTTCCAGAGTGGCTGCACCAGCTTGCATTCCCACCAACAGTGTAGGAGGGTTCCCCCTTCTCCGCATCCCCGCCACATCTGTCGTTACCTGACTTGTTAATTTTAGCCATTCTGACTGGTGTGAGGTGGTATCTCATTGAGGTTTTGATTTGGATTTCCCTGATGCTGAGCGACATTGAGCACTTTTTCATGTGTCTGTTGGCCATTTGGATGTCTTCTTTGGAAAAATGTCTGTTCATGTCTTCTGCCCATTTCTTGATTGGATTCTTTGTTCTTTGGGTGTTGAGTTACATGAGTTCTTTATAGATTTTGGATACTAGCCCTTTATCTGATATATCATTTGCAAATATCTTCTCCCATTCTGTCGGTTGTCTTTTGGTTTTGTTCACTGTTTCCTTTGCTTTGCAAAAGCTTTTTATCTTGATGAAGTCCCAATAGTTCATTTTTGCCCTTGCTTCCCTTGCCTTTGGCGATGTTTCTAGGAAGAAGTTGCTTTGGCTGAGGTCGAAGAGGTTGCTGCCTGTGTTCTCCTTTAGGATTTTGATGGACTCCTGTCTCACATTGAGGTCTTTCAACCATTTGGAGTCTATTTTTGTGTGTTGTGTAAGGAAATGGTCCAGTTTCATTCTTCTGCATGTGGCTATCCAATTTTCCCAACACCATTTGTTGAAGAGACTGTCTTTGTTCCATTGGACATTCTTTCCTGCTTTGTCGAAGATTAGTTGACCATAGAGTTGAGCGTCCATTTCTGGGCTCTCTATTCTGTTCCATTGATCTATGTGTCTGTTTTTGTGCCAGTACCATGCTGTCTTGATGATGACAGCTTTGTAATAGAGCTTGAAGTCCGGAATTGTGATGCCGCCAGCTTTGCTTTTCTTTTTCAACATTCCTCTGGCTATGCGGGGTCTTTTCTGGTTCCATACAAATTTTAGGATTATTTGTTCTATTTCTTTGAAAAAAGTGGATGGTATTTTGATGGGGATTGCATTGAATGTGTAGATTGCTCTAGGTAGCATTGACATCTTCACAATATTTGTTCTTCCAATCCATGAGCATGGAACGTTTTTCCATTTCTTTGTGTCTTCCTCAATTTCTTTCATGAGTATTTTATAGTTTTCTGAGTATAGATCCTTTGTCTCTTTGGTTAGATTTATTCCTAGGTATCTTATGGTTTTGGGTGCAATTGTAAATGGGATTGACTCCTTAATTTCTCTTTCTTCTGTCTTGTTGTTGGTGTATAGGAATGCCACTGACTTGTGTGCATTGATTTTATATCCTGCCACTTTACTGAATTCCTGTATGAGTTCTAGCAGTTTTGGGGTGGAGTCTTTTGGGTTTTCCACATAAAGTATCATATCATCTGCAAAGAGTGAGAGTTTGACTTCTTCTTTGCCAATTTGGATGCCTTTGATTTCTTTTTGTTGTCTGATTGCTGTGGCTAGGACTTCTAATACTATGTTGAATAGCAGTGGTGATAGTGGACATCCCTGCTGCGTTCCTGACCTTAGGGGGAAAGCTCTCAGTTTTTCCCCATTGAGAATAATATTTGCTGTAGGTTTTTCATAGATGGCTTTTATGATATTGAGGTATATACCCTCTATGCCTATACTCTGAAGAGTTTTGATCAAGAAAGGATGCTGTACTTTGTCAAAAGCTTTTTCTGCATCTATTGAGAGGATCATATGATTCTTGTTCTTTCTTTTGTTAATGTATTGTATCACATTGATTGATTTGCGGATGTTGAACCAACCTTGCAGCCCAGGGATAAATCCCACTTGGTCGTGGTGAATAATCCTTTTAATGTACTGTTGGATCCTATTGGCTAGTATTTTGGTGAGAATTTTTGCATCCATGTTCATCAGGGATATTGGTCTGTAATTCTCCTTTTTGATGGGGTCTTTGTCTGGTTTTGGGATCAAGGTAATGCTGGCCTCATAAAATGAGTTTGGAAGTTTTCCTTCCGTTTCTATTTTTTGGAACAGTTTCAGAAGAATAGGTATTAATTCTTCTTGAAATGTTTGGTAGAATTCCCCTGGGAAGCCATCTGGCCCTGGGCTTTTGTTTTTTGGGAGATTTTTGATGACTGCTTCAATTTCCTTAGTGGTTATAGATCTGTTCAGGTTTTCTATTTCATCCTGGTTCAGTTTTGGTAGTTGATACATTTCTAGGAATGCATCCATCTCTTCCAGGTTATCTAATTTGCTGGCATAGAGTTGCTCATAATATGTTCTTATAATTGTTTGTATATCTTTGGTGTTGGTTGTGATCTCTCCTCTTTCATTCATGATTTTGTTGATTTGGGTCATTTCTCTTCTCTTTTTGATAAGTCTGGCCAGGGGTTTATCAATCTTGTTAATTCTTTCAAAGAACCAGCTCCTAGTTTCGTTGATCTGTTCTACTGTTCTTTTAGTTTCTATTTCATTGATTTCTGCTCTGATCTTTATTATTTCTCTTCTCCTGCTGGGTTTAGGTTTTATTTGCTGTTCTTTCTCCAGCTCCTTTAGGTGTAGAGTTAGGTTGTGTACTTGAGACCTTTCTTGTTTCTTGAGAAAGTCTTGTATTGCTATATACTTTCCTCTTAGGACTGCCTTTGCTGCATCCCAAAGATTTTGAACAGTTGTGTTTTCATTTTCATTGGTTTCCATGTATTTTTTTAATTCTTCTTTAATTTCCTGGTTGACCCATTCATTCTTCATTAGGATGCTCTTTAGCCTCCATGTATTTGAGTTCTTTCCGACTTTCCTCTTGTGATTGAGTTCTAGTTTCAAAGCATTGTGGTCTGAAAATAGGCAGGGAATGATCCCAATTTTCTGGTACCGGTTGAGACCTGATTTATGACCTAGGATGTGATCTATTCTGGAGAATGTTCCATGGGCACTAGAGAAGAATGTGTATTCCGTTGCTTTGGGGTGGAATGTTCTGAATATGTCTGTGAAGTCCATTTGGTCCAGTGTGTCATTTAAAGTCTTTATTTCCTTGTTGATCTTTTGCTTAGATGATCTGTCCATTTCAGTGAGGGGGATGTTAAAGTCCCCCACTATTATTGTATTGTTGTCGATGTGTTTCTTTGCTTTTGTTATTAATTGCCTTATATAATTGGCTGCTCCCATGTTAGGGGCATAGATATTTACAATTGTTAGATCTTCTTGTTGGATAGATCCTTTAAGTAGGATATAGTGTCCTTCCTCATCTCTTATTACAGTCTTTGGTTTAAAATCTAATTTGTCTGATATAAAGATTGCCACCCCAGCTTTCTTTTGGTGT